ACTCAGGAGTTGACCAGGACCCATGTTATGGTTTGTCACCGTTGAGTTGAAACTGGGAAGGAGCAGGAGTGTGAAAGTGACAGGCTGAGCAAGGACAGAGGAAGTGAAAAGAACAGGGATTGGAAGAATCAAAGTGAATCAGAAAGTGAGACCACATTACATCTTTTATTTGAGATTTAATAGTTGGAAGAGAGAGTGAGAGATCAATAGGAGGCAAGGCATTCCAGAGCCTAGCTACCCGGTTGAAATAAAAATGTCTGGATCTATTTGTGGAGGAGTGCTGGATAATGATTTTTGAAGAAGAACTGGAGCGAGTAGAACAGGAGGAAAAAGTAATATGATCACGAATATTGAAACTATCATCAGGACATTGGAGGCACTGAACAAAAAAAATGATATCCAAATATTCATAAAAGTACATTAATGGCAACAGGTTAAGTGAGGTTAGCCTATCACGATATGACAGAGAGTTACCAACAATGAATTTAGTGGACCTGCGCTGAATCCTCTCTAGAGTGACAATGTCCTTTATGAACATAGGGCGCCACACAGGGGAACAGTAAGTGATCTGTGACCGGACAAGAGAGATGTAAAGGAGTCTTTTAACAGAAGGACAGGTGGTAGTAAAAGTCCTCTTTAGAAGAAGAAGTTGACCATAAGCTTTTTTAGAGATATGCTTGTAATGATTAGACCATGAAAGGTCACTGGAGAAGACAATGCCAAGGTCCCGACAATTTGAGACTGAAGAGATAGGGACATTATTAAGGAGATAATCAAATTTGACAAGAGGAGAAGAATTGGGACAAAAAAAAACAGAAAAGACTTAGCTGAATTAAATGAGAGGCCAGACTCTGCACTCCAATTTTGCAGTGCCCAAATATCGTGTTGAAGCTGTGAACAATCAGATAAGGAAGATACTGGCTTAGAATATACATACATGTAATTTACCAATCAGATTGCACCACTAAAGGTGTTTTATTTCACTTAAAAACTCCCCGGGAACTCATAGTAAATTCCCCGGGAACTCATA